GTTCAGGATTTTTTTCTGTGTTTATATATGCTTCGTTTTGTTTTCCTTTAATCTTTAATCTATCAAGAAAAGTTTTCGCAAAAGCTCTGTTGTTAACTTGTTATGGTGGCTTCTTTCTGAACAAATGCCACGTTCACAGGCGCAAAATAAATGAAAAACGAATTCAGCAAAAGATGAAACAACTTGCCGTTTTGTTGTTAACACAAAAACAACAATACACCACCACTCGTCTTCTTCGCGAAATCAACAATGTTAAACCCTAAAAGCCCCATTTCTCTTTCTCTCTGCAGTTTTAATGGCAGCTAAGACCTGTGATGGTTGTTCATCTGAGTGAGATGAAAGGTTGACCGAGAATGAATCCGGAGATATCCCCCAACACCAACCCTAAAAGGTTGATCGAACGAAGATGGGTAATTGATTTCTACACGAGTGCTATAGACAAGCTCAAAGCTACGATTGAAGAGGCGCCTTAGAATTTCTGGTAGGGAATTAGAGAACTGTTAAACCAGCTAGAGACTTGAGGCCGGAACAGAGGTGCCTTCATACATGAAGATCAGGTTAGTCTTACCCTTTTGGCCCATCGAGGCAAATCTCAAACCTGTTGCTGAAGAGAGGAACCATAGAGAAAAGGGTAACACGGTGAAAAAAGATTGGCGCCGCAGGAACATGGACTAAGGTTAAGAGATGCTTCTGATGATCAGGACCGCTTGATGATTCGTTTGAGCAGCAATCTAGATAACAAGATGCTGACAACGATTACATAAGGGAGGACAAGAGATGCAGTACACATGGTAGGGAGAAAGTTCAACAAGGCAATCAGAAACCTCCGGCAAGATAGGGATAGAAAGATGATTGTGGTCGCTAAAGGGATAGATGATAGTGGTATGTATGCTCAATGGTTTTTCAGTTGTAGCTAGAATCTGTGGAAATAGGCTTTGTTGTGCCTTACAAGAGAATTAACCCTTGGGGGTTATAACTGCTTCATACTTCTAATAAGAATTCTCTGTCTGTCGTGAGACCTAAGAATTGATGATTTTACTGTGTGGAATGAGAATGAGATACCTTATTTTGGGTTCAGTTACGGAGCTTTTGCTATCTTATGTATGCTTATCTTGTTAGTGGCTGTACTGACCTTTGCTACACACTACACACTCAGGTGTTCTACAGGGATGAGTGATTCTGGCCCCCTCCTTGTATGGACGAACTAATGCAATGCTTTCTGCTTCTGTCCCAAGCAAATCTAAGAGGTAAACAGCATTTTGTTTTCGTTTTAATTCAATCCTGTCAACTTGGTCTATGAACAAAGGATTGTTGGATTATATTGTGATATTTCAAGTTTTATACTGCTAGGTTTGAAATTAAAAACTAATTTTTTTTTGCTATTATTTTGATGGAGTTAGCTGAAAACAATGTAGAAGCAATTTGGTGAAATTGTCCATGTCATGGTCATTGCTAAGAAGTTAACAAACATTCCTTGGGTTTTTAGTGTTAATTTTATCCAGTTTGAGTATTCTCTAGGCAATATATGTGATAACGCTTGACAGTTGATTTGGGAAAGCAGTTAAAGTCAATGAGGATTGTTAATACTTAGGCTTTCACTATTGTCAATGAGTCATATGTTATTTGTAGACGGATGAATGTTGTGGCACAAGCTATATAATTATTGCTAGTCCTATCAGTGTTCTGTTTTTACCTCCCAGTTTTATTGGATTTTCTCAGTTTTCGTCATGCAAAGTTCCAACTTTTCAGTGTTTATGGTTTGTTTCTTTAGTGATCAATATGAGTTTTTTTGTTCAATTTGGATGTTCAAGATAAGTTTTCCTAAGCTTGTTTAATTTTATTTGTGAGGCTAGTCTGAGCTGAAACTGAGAGTTCGAGGCTGGTGTAGCAAATACTCATAGAGCGAGAAGAGGAATCTTGGTCAACTATAGAGGTTTTCACAGAGAAGAGTGTACCGTCACTAAAGGGATAGATGGTAGTATGCATGCTCAATTGTCTTTCAGTTATAGCTAGAATCTGTGGAAATAAGCTTTGTCGTTCTTCAAAAGAGAATTATCCCTTAGGGACTTATAACTGCATCATCCCTTTTCACTGCCATTCTCAATTTGTCATGATACCCGAGACTTGTTGGCTCCTGTCCTAATCGAAGGTAAACTGTAATTTTTTTCTCAACTGATGTCAGTCCAAAGAATTAGTTGGTCTATGAAAAAGTTGAACAAAGAATTATGTTTGCTCATTACTAGATTATATCGTAATATTCAAGTTTTCTTCTACTAGGAATGATTATAGTGAAGGTTCAAGAAGGCCATCAAAATCGCCCCCAATATCAGTATTAATTAATCCTACTGTTACCATATAGAGAGAGATGATTGCCCTCGCTAAAAAGATAAGATAGTGGTATGCATGCTCAATGGTCTCCTCGCTAAAAGGCCCTTTGTTATTACTTTTTAGTGCTACAAACTCAGCTGCTCCTAGTATGGATTAATGCAACGCTTGCTGCTCCTGTCTTAATCAGAGTTAAACTATAATCTGTAAGAAAATATTTGAACACATTCCAAGTATTCTTCCCTGCTAGGAATGACATAGACATTCTGAATTAGACTATAATTATGCTACTATTTTCATTTGAGGTTGCTGAAGACTGTAGAAGCAAGTTGGTATATGTCGAAATCATAGATGTCATGGCCACTGCTAATACCCCAATTTTATTTGGACTTTCAGTTGTGTTTAGATGAAAATAAGTTTTTCAAAATTTGGGTATTCCTCAAACGTCTTGTGTTTTTTGGCCTGCATTTAAGAAACTAATTGGTTGGAAACATTTTCTCTTTTTTGTTTGCAATGAAACCTGTAAGAGTTTCTTTCTGAGCTTTCAAGTTTCAAGTCCTGTTTCTTTGATTTTCTCTGGGACCACAAGCGGTTTAGTGAAAGTACCATTCTGGATATGTACAGAAAAGTTAGCTTGGTATTTGGTAGTTACTAAATGGAAAAGAAGTCGTTTTCCAGGAGTCTTATCCTAAAAGACTAAAAAATGTATGGGCTTTCCCCTGTATGGTCATGACATGAGGCTGATTCTTGTATTAGGTTTCTTTGTCATTTAAAGATTCATAATGTATGACTACTGTTATTAGCAGACAAAAGATGAATGTTGTATTACAATTGATTAGCATTTTCCTGTGCCTTTGATGGGTTAAATTGACGAAAAAATCCAGCCGGAGATGAAATAGCATTGGTTTATCTTTTGTCGTTGATGTGTTAACACAAAAAAAAAAAAAACACCCCATGATGTCTGAAAAGTCTTGAAAAATAGTGAAATGA